GGAATGAGTTTTCAATGTCCCGAATCCTAATGCAACTAGGAAAATTGTTCTTCATTCTTGAAAACCACAGTATTAGGGGCTAAGTGGTTCAACATATGCTGCCATTTTTTCTTTAGGACAACGTGACGGTGGCTGCGAATAACGCCCGTCGACAGAACATTCAGCTGTTCGCTGTTGGTGTCACAAACCACGTGCTGCAAGCTGAGTTAGAAGAGGTAGGCAACTTCAGCTATTACCTAGAAGGTTGCTGAGCTGCTACGCGAGCCTTTCGGCGAACTCAGCCAAGAGTTCCGATTTCCGAGTTTCCGGTCCGTTCGAGTTCCGATTCTCGGAGGACGGCCTAACTATCATACCCCTAGTTCCGTAGATGTCCCTCATGCCAAATGTAAGAAACTGTGGATTATGCCCGAAAAATGTCGTATTTTCTCAGATCACTGGTGCGAAAGACAGGACATTCCACGTGAACGCTTTCGAGGATCTTAACACTAGACTTCGAAGTGCTATTCAGCGAGTAACGTGCCCTCAGACTGAAACTCCAAAACCTTCCGAAGGTGAGTGATCTTGTCTAGAACCCATAATTTGATAGAAGCTGGGGAACTTGTGACCAGCGGACGCTCTTGCGATTTTCCTTTCGGGACCCCTTAAATTAGCGATAGGGACAACAACAAGGTCAAGGGAAAAACGTGTCTTCAAGAGGGCGTGGCAAATAAAATAACAAACTTACAACCATGTGCTCTACTAATTGAGGACTAGTTGGTACTGTTTTCTTACCGTAAGAAATGTATCTTTTCTTTCTACTGTGCTATCTCGTCCAAAATTGGTGGACTGTGCAATGCCGCCCCCAAATGTGTATATGTGCATACATATACGTCCATATTGCCTTGAAGTTTTTGCGCATGAAACGGAAAAAATCGAGAAAAGTCAAGTCAGCGACCGAAAACGTTTTTCACAAATAATTCCCTCCCTTCAGCGACGAGAATATGCCCCCCCCCTCTCGTTGGGGAACCCGACTGTGCGACGTACTCTACATGTGAAAAGAATAACTGCTTTAAAAACTTCACATTACGACTTGGAGTGTGGGTTGGGAGATCCTGATGGCGATACGCACTGCCTGGCCAATATTTTCTAGCTAGCTGACTCGATATACTGAAGTAGTTCATGTCAAATCAGTTATTTCCTGGTTTGAATGCCGCGCACCCGACATTGTGTGCAACTCCACCGACTATCGCAGCAATATGGATCTCTCATCAGCATTCAGTGATCTCATTACAGTACACAGTTCTTTTCAGGACCTTGCGATCCTGCATCACATGCCGGATGCGATCGTGCTCTGAATCAAATCTGCATGAAGAAAGATGGCCAGTACAGTTGTGGATGTCCT